AATTTCTATTTACAAAGAGATTTATTTCTATTTATATGCTCTATGTCAAATGTTGTGCTAGCCACTACAGGAATGACAAGGATGAGTCTTGGAATCTAAGAAGCTAGCTGTCTAAGAATAATTTTATGGCATACAAATGACTGTGACATATCATAAAACAAGATGTTCCAATGAGAAGACAATCTAAAAGGTATATATTAATGTGTTATAAGGGGTGAGAGGGTTTCCCTCTAGTTAGAGAATAATCAGAAATATATTCATGGAGAATTATTTAATACAGACCCTAAAAGTTGGATACAGTTTGTATAAGCATTGATGGGAAAGGGGAGTAGAGATTGAAAAAACACTTTCAAACAACCAGCCATCCAAATCAACAACAACAATAACAAAAAATGAAAAGAATCTCAGAAAGAGTGAAGGAAGAGGAGTTTTCTTCCTACCACATGTACAGCTCAACTGCTCTGAAGAAGAAAAGATATTTAATATTTAACACAAATAGCATGCTAATAATGATAATGATTCCTATTATTTTTTAGAGTCTGTAGGATCAGACATTTAAAATACATTATTTTATCTACACATTAAAACAAAATTCAGGGGAGATATCATTTTCATGTTATATTTGAGAAAATTTAGAATCAGATTAAATTATTTGCTTAATGCTATGCAGCTAATAATTGGTCATGTGACAGATTAGAATTAGATTAGATTTGAATCTCTTTGGTACCAAAGTCCAGTTTACTGTTCCATGTTACTGCTTAGCAGTTTTACAGATTTATGAAAAAGTAAACAGGATGAGAATTAGAGCAACAGAAAAGCATTTGCTGTGAACTCTGTACTCAGGATGAAACTTGAGCAATGCCACATATAGATTGAGGGCTGTTTGCAGTTAGTATACAAACTCTGGTTCAATGCTCCACCTTATTGCTTTTCTTGTAAAATTTGGTGATTCTTAGGGGTTCTCTTTTCCCTGTCATCTCTTTTTCTTAACCACTGACATGGCTGCAATGATCCTCTCCAAGGTAATGATTCCCAATTTCCATCTCAAGCTTCAATCTTGCTCCAGAAGACAAGAAGTGGTATTCAAGTATGCATCAAATTCTTCCCTTGGAGGGCTTAAAGACATTTCAACATGCAAACAAGAACATCTCCGAGAGGGACAAGAGAGCCTGATTAATGATTACACTAAGTCAACAGTCGTAGGACCAGGACTGTTTGGGTCAACTGGTCACTCCATTTTCAGCTCAATATATCACAACTGAACACGTACTCAGTTACTAAGCCCTTTTTATTTTATCTCATTCATGCCACATCCTTTATCCACAGCTCCCATTTCCTAACTAGCACTCTCATCCAGACTACTTACTTGACAGGATTGTAGTAAAAACTTCCTAACTAGTCTCTTTATCACAGTCTTGTCCCCTTTTATAACAAGAAAGTTTCAAAATATAACAATAATTTTTATCTCCCCTTTGTGTCTACCATTGTCCTAGGAGGAAGTATACACTTGATTAAAAGGTCTTTGAGATGTGGCCCTTGCCAACCAAGCTGGAAATGTCCTGTATATAGTGAGGTCTATCATTAAACTTTGTGCTCCATTGAAACTGCATTTCTTCTCATTCCTTAAATATGCCTTGTACTTTTTTCCTGGAACACTCCTCCCTCCCTCTCTATTTGGCCCACCTCTAATTTTTCTTCAGCGCTTCACTAAAATGTCGCTTCCTCCAGGACGGCTTCTCTGATGTCTTCACTTCAGGTGTTCCTCTTTTCACTCTTCTTATCACAGTATCCATCACACTATGCTGTGGCTGCTGACGTAATTGTCTGTTTCTCCTATTTGACTGTACGTTCACCAAGGGCAGAATGGTGTCTGTTCCTTGTTGATTATTTCCATCAAAACACAGTGCTTGGTAAGCAGACTTAACAGTTTTATTGAAAGGATAAATAAAATCCCCATCTATCGAGTGCTACCTCGTGCAATGCCCCACTCTGAGGCATTACAATTAATAAGGCATTTAATCCTTATTTATCCATGAAGGAGGCACTATCATTAGCATCATTTTAGAGGTGATGAAAGTAAAACCTAGAGAAAGTCAATAACTCACCCAAAGTCATGTAGCTAGTAAGTGGCAGGGCAAAGATTCACACCCAGTTCCCAAATCCACGTGTTTAACATTGTCCTATACTGCCTCTCTGATCATAGAGGATGGAATAGCAGCCATCTGCTTAATAAGAAAGGATATGAAAGGAGATTAAAAGATGACACAAAGCAGCATAATATCAGCGACTAGACCTTGATAGGACATGGACTGATGGGAAGGTTGTCACTTCTTGCGTAGTCTCATTACCATCCTGATGAGTTGGTGGCTGTCACAACACACATCTGGCTTGATGTGCATATATTTTTCGTAGTTATGTGCCTATTTTTAGATATATTTATAATATTGAACTAGTTATAACTTAATAAAGGCCTAGTGTTCACCAGCCATATTTACCCATGTCCCCTCTCCTCTTTTGATGAGACGATAAGATTGGATTACTCAGTCTTGAAGATTACATATATGATAGCATAAAACCTAAGATATGGTTTGTCAAGTTACAAAGATTTCAGAGGGTATAGAATCTGAAATTTGCCAAATGTAACCTATTCTTTCATCTTAAACAAATATATCTTTGAACAAATATATTTACCATTCATTCAGCAAAAGATATTAGGTTCTGTCTACGAACCAAGCACTGTGGAAGGTTTGGGGATATTTTGCCTGTGCTTGGCCACACTGTGTATTTCCGTTCTTTGAACAAATCCTCATGATACTGCTTTTCAGTTAGTTAGTTCTTCAGCACTAATGCCTTTGCTTTATGTCTCTGTTTTCACTTGCATAAACGCCCCCTTCTGGAATAGTAGAAGAGCTGCACTTTCTGTAGATGCCTGGAATCCACACGAATAGACAAGGTCAGTGTTATCTCTCACTGGAGAGTAGGGGAGCATGGCCTGTCCCCATTGAAGTGTCCCTTAGGAGACAAAACCTAGGGCAGTCACACAGCAGTAAATGAGAAAAAGTTAACAAATGAATGGGCATTTTATCTGGCCAAAACCAAAGACCTCGTTCATACTATGATACATGCTCGTATCTGCTGGAAGAAATCCTGATGGTACACTTTTGTTTGAATGTGTGCAGTATGATGTGTTTAAAAAATATATTTACTATACTCAGCACATTTGTAAACATTTTATTTTTAAAGTTATATATTGCCCTTTCATCGAACATGTTTTGAAAGAGAGAGAGAATAAAATTCACTTTGTAATCCTAACATCCGGAGAAATTCAGTGTTAAGCTTTGTGGTCCATTATTCCTGTTTTTTATTCAATCTTTTCTTTTCTTTTTTTTTGAGTTGGAGTCTTACTCTGTTGCCCAGGCTGGAGGGCAGTGGCATGCTCATGGCCACCCCAGTGTCCATCTACTGGGCTCTGGCTATTCGTCCGCCTCAGCCTTTCTTTTTTTTTGAAAGGGTGCGGAGGGTGGGGGTGGGGGGAGTAGAGACAAAAATAGGACCATTCTATTTCTATTGCTTTTTTCCCTGTTTTTTACTTAGTAATATATTCTGAGCATATTTTATATCATTAACTATTCCTCCACAAAATTATTTTGCTGGCCATATATTACTCTATTTTATGGATGTAACTAATTTATTTATTTTGAGGCAAGGTCTTATTCTGTCACCCAGGTTGGATTGCAGTGACACGATCATGGCTCACTACAGCCTTGACCTCCTGGACTCAAGTGATCCTCCTGTCTCAGACTCCTTAGTAGCTGGTACTACAGGTATGCACCAATACCCCTACGCTTAGCTAATTATATTTATTATTTTGTAGAGACAAGGTCCCACTATATTGCCCAAGCTGGTCTTGAACCCTTGAACTCAAGCAATTCTCTTTCTTTGGGCTCCCTAAGTGCTGGAATTACAGGAGTGAGCCACCATGCCAGGCTCCCGAATGTACCATATTTATTTATTTCTAGTATTGGTCATTTGGTTGTATATTCTTGCCTTTAGAATAATGAATCACCTGTGAAGCTTTAGAAAATGTTGATGCCTCAAACCCAACTCTGTAGATTCTGATTTAACTTCTCGGGGTTACAGTCTAGGCATTGGGAATTTTAAAAGTTTTCCAAGTGATTCTAATAGGTAGGCAGGATTGAGAACCTTGCAAGTATAATAGTCTAGTACTATCATAGACAGGGAGCATGTGAGGTGAACCATTCTTGGAACCAGGTGGAGTTTATAATGTTATTTAGTATTAATATTATCATCTTGAGATACTAAGTGATTAGTGCAGTTGACCCACTTCACAATAACACATGCAAATTACTTTTCAACAATCAAAATTATCATAGGACTTGGTCCATCAGGGTTCTTTTGGTAAGTGGTCTATGTTAAGCCACGTATAGTATATTAAATACTTAAAAATGTACCATACTGACATACAAATCAGATGAAAAGTATTTTGAGGTAAACTGACAACATAATAAGCAATGTATTCCTGAACAAAGAGTCTGAATTGGTCAGTGTATACAGTACCTGGCATTTGAAGGCATTCAATTGATAGTTTTAAAGAATTAATGCATTAGATGAATTTCATACCAAGTCTGGTGTCTTTTCTTTAGGGCCTCATTAACTTATTAATTTGAAAGCATTTAATTATTCTGCAACTTGGGGGCAAATTGTCTCTTTGACTATTCTGTAGTTTGGGAAGAATATTTCTGTAGTTTGGGAAGAACATTTCCATTGCAAAATGGAATGAATTTGCAAGTTCCCCCCCCCAAAGTGATCTGTGTCCTTGAACGTAAAATGCAAACAAACCCTGTGCTGTTAATTATTGGCAAATTGTCCAATTTCAACCTAAGGAAATACCATAAAGTAGCAGATATACCAACCAAATGTTAATAGTTAACAGGCATTGCCTGAAAAAGGTATATAAGAATTCCAGCATGATTTTCAATATTCTGCTCCCACTATCGCCAGCAGCAAAATAACTAGCAGCCATGAAGTGGGTGGAATCAATTTTTTTAATTTTTCTACTAAGTTTTGCTGAATCCAGAACTCTGCATAGAAATGAATATGGAATAGGTGAGATATTTTGTGCTTTTCTTTTTTGTCTTTTCTCTACATCAAAATTCTTAAAATTTTAAGATTTGCATTTATTTATCTGATTTATTTGTCATATTTATTATACACAGAAAAAATATTGAACTGGTGGATATATTTAAACGTGGCAAACTCGTAACTTTACAAGACGTTTACAAAGTCATGCAGTGCTTAACATGATCAATGAATGGTTTCTATGCTTCATGTTGAATCACTTTTTTGTGTATTATTTAGTTGATTGGTATGCATATGAACCTTGAAAAAATTATATATGTAAACTAGGCCATAATCCTGGTTCTTCATATATAAAATTCTCTCAGATTGGTCAGATAAGTAACATGTTTATCATTAATTCAGAAAAATGGGTCACTGGTTTGAAGAAGTAACACTGTGGTTCACTGGGATATGAATGGCAAACTACAGTATAATTGTGTTCAAAAGGAAGACTTAAATATAGTTTTAGCCATTTTATTTTCAGGCCAATTACAGCACTGTAGTACGGAGAAAACCAAACAATTGGAAGACAACATCGGGATTTTAGGTCTACTATAAACTATACTTTTAACTTGATTTCTTAGTTTTCTCAAATATAACATTAAGATGTTTAGATAAGTGATCCTTAATGTTTTCTTAGTTCTAAAATTGTATAGTCCTAATTTAAATACAAACATTTATATGTAACAACGATTGGTTTCTTGGTTGCGGTTGAAAACACCATGTTTCACAAGTTTATTTTGCTTTCCAGCCTCCATATTGGATTCTTCCCAATGTAAAGAGGAGGTGAATTTAGCTAACCTGTAAGTTTAACTTGTATAAATGCACTTTGCATATGGAGTAATAACATTAGTAGATAATTAAATGAAATTGGGTAGCTCTGTGAGTTTAACAGTACAGAAGAAAATTGGACAATTTCAAGAAAAGTTACATAAACTGAATATCAAATTAATATTGAAGAGGTTGAACTGTTGGCCAATGCTTTAGGTGCTAACTTCTAGATTTCTTGAAATTCCAAAGGGTAAACAAAATCAGATTTTACTTTATTTTATTATTATTATTTTTTGAGTTTGGTCTTACTCTGTCACTCAGACTGAAGGGCAGTGGCATGATCAAGGCTCACCACAATCTTACATTTTTGGACTTAGGTGATCCTTCCGCCTCAGCCTCCTTAGCAACTGGGACTACAGGCATACACCATCACGCGGCTAATTTTTTATTGTTTTTTTTTTGGTAAAGGAAAGGCCTAGCTGCCCAGGTTGGTCTGAAACTCCTGGGCTCAAGCAATCCTCCTGCCTCTGCCTCCCAAACTGCTGAGGTTACAGGCCTGAGCCACGGTGCCTAACCCAAATCAGATTTTAGAAACTGAAGATTAGTGCCTGATTTATAAATTAAGTATTTTTTTCTCATCAATACCAAATAGAATGGTGCCACAATGTTCTTTATTATGTAGACTATTTAAATCTTAGTGGCAAATCATAAGAGGTAAAATATTTTAAGCAGCCTCAGAACACAAGATTCAAGGTACACAAGCAAGAAACAAACAAACAAACAATTATTTGTGGAGAGTATGTTGGTATCTTGAAAACTATCTTTCCATTCCATGGTTTTGCAATTTCTAATGATAAATTTAAAGTAGTGTGTTGCTGCTACTGCTCGTACACAGCAATCTACACAAGCATGGCTTTGAGTCCATCCATAAGCACTGCCATCTTGGGCCAGACTTTGATCATACTGGAGCAGACAAAGGCAGAGGTTTAATGGCCAATCCTTCTCTTAAATTTAAAAGAAAGTGTACAAACTGTAGATATCCTCAATGATGGCTGCACTGCGGTGAATGGATGACTCCAAAAGGAGGAACCACTCCTATGAATGGGAATCCCACTTAGTTTGACTTTTAACATCTACATGCATATTTGTAGGGAATGAAAACAAGAAAAAGACTAAAATTTCTTTCTACATGGTCAGCACCTAAATTTACATAAATTTTAAAAATCAAAGGTCACCATCACAACAGGTCGCAACATAAACAGAAAACAAAACAAACAAAAACTATACTTGAGAAAAATGAGCTTGATATAAATCAGTTTAAGCATTCATATGTTTTTTGTTGTTGTTTCAGAGCTACTATATTTTATGCTCAGTTTTTTCAAGTAGCCACTTACGAAGAAGTAAGCAAAATGGTGAAAGATGTCTTGACTACAATTAAGAAATCCACTGACAATGGGTGTTTTGAAAATCAGGTGAGTGAATAACACAACAAACAAAAATTTGACCAAAAATTAGCACGCAGAAGAGAAGATACAGGGCTGGTATGAGGAATGCATTCAAATATTTGAAGAACTGGTGTATGAAAGAAGGATGAGACTAATTCTGAATTGCTGGAGAGAGCAGAAGAGAACAGTGGGTGGCAACTGTAAAGAGACAATGGAAGCATGAAGATGAGGAGCTAAAACTCTGAAACAAGGCTATCTGGCTGGCTGTGGGCATATTACCTAACTTCCTTGAGCTTCAGGTTTCTTATCTATGAAATAAGGGATAACAATAACAGCTTCTATTTCAGACTTGTCATGGAGACTAGCATAATAATAGTAGTAGTTAATTTTTATTAAGCACACAATGTGAGACTGACGTTATTCTAGAGTGTTGCATACACATTAATAATCAAAATATTTTATGACACAGAGGACAGCACTGATGAAATCAGAATGTTTCTCCAGTGAGTCAAGAGATTGACTGAGGCTTATTGGCAGGATATCAGCTTTTTTTTTTTAACAAATATTTATTTATTGAATATTTACAATAATCCTAGAATATACAGACAAGGGGAAGAAACTGAGGCACAGAGAGGTTAAGTAGCTTTCCTAAGAGATCCAGCAAATGGCAGAACCAGGATTTAAACTTGGCCATCTGACTCCAGAATGAATGTCTTTAACAGCTTCACTACACAATATACCAGCAGTCCCAACTTTTTTGGCATCAGGGACTGGTTTTGTAAAAGGCAATTTTTTCACAGATGGAGGGGAAAGGGGTAGGGTGGGATGGAGGGAGGGTCTCGATGATTCAAGAGCATAACATTTATTGTGCACTTTATTTCTAGTATTATTACATTGTAATATATAATGTAATTATACAACTCACCATAAAAAAAAAAGAGGAGTGGACAGAAATGGTAAATAAAATAATGGGCGGGCTCCCGCTGATCTGACGGGAGGTGGAGCTCACCCACTGCTCACCTCCTGCTGTGCAGCCAGGTTCCTAACAGGACCTGGAACCAGTCCACGGGTTAGAAACTCCTGCTCTACACTATAGTAAAAGTGGGGCATAGCACATAGGTTTGCCCGGTTTAGAAAACAAACAACAAAACATGATACCCAGTAAAGTTTGAATTTTAGATAAACACTGACTATTTTTTTTTACTATGTGGATGTCCCAATATCCATAAATAGTAATTATTATTGTTTACTTTATCTCAATACAGAAAAAAACTTTATAATGATTAGAGGTATTCAATTATGGAACAAAATGCCCAGAGAATCCTGTCATGGTGGGGTAGTTAAAGAAGTAGCCAAAAGACAATGTGTGTGGAATATTGTAGAGGAAATGCATTTTAAAGACATAAAGTAATTTCCAACTCTGAAATTTATGGTTTAATAAAAATCTCTGTTTATCATCTCTACTTTTGGCTTGTCCTGATAATCTTTTTAAAATGTGTATAAAATGCAAAATACATCCGTATTGCAACTTTATATCCAATTAGAGGTCCAATGTAACGTTAGAGATTGCTGATTTATTATTGCAAATTAAAGGCAGTTTTTAAAATGTAGATTTGGAACTAGAAGTCTTATGTAAGCGTTCCAGGATTCTCTAAACATTACTGTTAACTGTTATAAAAGCTAAGAAAAAAAAAAGACTTCCTGAATGAAACATGTAGTCCTCAGAGGCTTTCTTCAGAATATTGGTGTTGTCATCTGATTTTGATAAAATTAAGTCCCTGAAAAAGGAAGTATGTGCATTTAAGAACATTTTAGCTGTAATTATGACCAATGAAAAAGGCTTCTTTTCAAAATCAATTTTCCAGTTCAAAATTCAATTATTTAAAATCTCCATTTCAAAACATTTTTATTTTTAAGCAAAAATAATATCCAATATTAGATTAATGTCTTGTCATAAGATTGCCACATGAAATGAGTACCAATGTCTGAAACATGGTTTATATAAAAAAGGAAAGCTTATACATCCTGGGGCAAATTACTGGTAATATAAAAGGGAAAATTTTTTTAAAAAATCAAAATTGAGTGTGAGAAACAAAATATTGCATGGCCTTTCTCCTTTTAAACTAAAATAATTTCATCTAATAATTATGCGTATTACTCAAGGTTGGAGACTAAAATTTCATTTCCCCAAGGCAGCAAAAAAAAAACCCCTAAATACATTTGTATGGGAATTTTTTAAATCTATAGCTTTGATTTTAAATATCAGAAAACAGTTTATGTGTTTTATAGAATTTTTAAGTTAATCGTCTTTTGTTAAAAATAAAATCTTTCTTGGCCGGGCTCAGTGGTTCAGCCCGTAATCCCAGCACTTTGGGAGGCCGAGGTAAGTGGATTACCTGAGCCCGCGTGTTTGAGACCAGCCCGGGCAACTTGGCGAGACCTCATCTCTATAATAAATAAAAAATTAACTGGGCGTGGAAGCACGCACCTGTAGTTCCGGCTACTTGGAAGACTGAGGCGGAAGGATCACCAGAGTCCAGCAGGTCGATGCTGGGGTGACTGTGAGTGTGCCACTGCACTCCAACCTAGGCAACGGAGTGAGACTCCAACTCAAAAAAATAAAATAAAATAATAAAATCTTTCTCATAGCTCTTTACCTTTCTGGAAGAAATCTGTCATGAGAAGGAAATTTCTGAAAAGTATGGACTTTCAGACTGCTGCAGCCAAAGTGAAGAGGAAAGGCATAAATGTTTACTTGCACACAAAAAGACAGCTCCAGCATCCATTCCACCCTTTCAAGTTCCAGAACCGGTCACAAGTTGTCAGGCATATAAAGAAGACAGAGAGACATTCATGAACAGGTAAGTATTCAGTTTAAAGGTAGATGAGAACCCCAGAAAAGGAGCAATCCCAAACAGAATTTAGTATTTCTGCAGTTTAAGATGTATTCATATGTGGTGGAACAGAAATAATGCTTGGCATTGCATCTACTGAGGTCTCATGCAAAGTTACTACTTAGTTGTTACTTAACTTTGTTTCCATAGGATGCCAGATGTAGTCTATTCCTCACAACACACCCAGCAGAAGTTCCTTTTGTCTCTTGGAAGACATCTTGTTTTTTTCCCTTTTAATATTTCAATTTTAATTTTTCCAAAAATATATTAGTATTGCACAAAATGACTCTTTCCAGAGCCATATATTGGTGTTGCATGTTCACCAAATTGCCCGAAAAAAAACTTTAGAGATCCAGGCATGGTTAAGATATGTAAGCGTGTTGATGGTTTATTGAACACTTAAGATGTTGCAGAAGCAAGGCTACTTGGTCCATAGGATCAGATAAATGTTCACAAACAACCTTTGAAGTCTTGTTTTCCCCTTCCTCTTCATTCTTCTCATTTTGTCAGTGAGGAAATTAAAACTTAAAAGCTTAAGACAACTGACTGAGGGCACACTGCTAGTACATTCAAACCCAGGTTCCCTGTTTGGAAAGCCTGTATCTAACTCTTTATCTCTTCTGTCTTCCATGTTAATAAGTAAACCAGAGAAATAGAGGACCTGTCCTTAGAATATCTCTGCTCCGGTGACTGCCCAGGTGGATAACTCCATTCTGCATTAACAAGGAAGAAAGAGTTCACCTTTCTGATTTACTTAGCAAAAGTCTAGCCTTGGTCATATTGAAACATATCAGAATAGTCTTATTGAAAAGGACATTTTGATAAGAATCATAGTCAGCATGTCTGTCTGTTTTGTTCTTATGATAGAATCTGGTATCCTCTGTCAGATAATTTTTTTCCTTAAGATCTTTACTGAGAAAAATTGCTAACAGCACTTGAGAAAAAAATGACTATTTCCCCCTAGGAGCATAATAAAGCAAAAGTCAAATGCACTTTTTGTTGTTGTTATCTGAATCTTTTAAAAAAACTTCTAGAGTGCAGCTCCAAACAGCAGTAGTCCTATTTTTAGGTGTTTGTCCATCTTCTGGCTCTGTATTCTTTCACAGATACATCTATGAGGTGGCAAGAAGACATCCCTTCCTGTATGCACCTACACTTCTTGCTTTGGCTGGTCGCTATGACAAAATCATTCCTCCTTGCTGCAAAGCTGACAATGCAGTTGAATGCTTCCAAACAAAGGTATTATATTTGTGTGGTTACCTGAACCAACATTGTAGTCTGGCTATGACTCAAAACCAAACACAATTAAAAATGGAAAGGTGTTTCATGTGGAGAGTATCATTTTCAGAATAGAGCTTATGTTAGAAGTTTGATCTTTGTATGAAAAAAACAGGATTTGATGTTGTGTTTTGATTAATTCATTCAGCCAAGAGTTATTTTACTATGTAGGAAATGAGTTTGGTAAAGAAGAAATGGCAGAGGGAGAGATGATCATATCAATAAAAGAAGTAAGAGGTAAAAGAAAATGGAGAAGAGGAGGAACAGGAGGAGAGAAAGATGAAAGAAGGAGAGAAAGATGAAAGAAACTATGATAATAAATCTGTCTGGCATAGATGCATATACACTAACCTAAAAGAGTAAATGTGTGAATATCGTTCTGCCAAAATTTATGACATTTATAATTTTTAGTAAAAAAGACATATTTTATGGAGATTTATATTTTACCTATTCTGTTGTTTTTCTAATTATTAGTTCTTGTAAAATGAAACATATGCTTTCATGATACCTTGTATCCTCTACATCTAGGCAGCATCGATTACAAAAGAATTAAAAGAAAGCAGCTTGTTAAACGAACACGTATGTGCAGTAATGAAAGATTTTGGACCTCGAACCTCCCAAGCCATGTAAGTTTAAGCTCTATCAAGGGAAAAGGGTCAGATCTACAGAACTACCATTTTGCTATTTGTGTTAATTTTTCTCATTGTTGCTGTTATAGAGAATAAAATCTCCTTTGATGAGGACTAATGGGCTTAGAATCACGAATTCTTTGGATTGGAAGGAAGCTAACAGATCAGTCTGCTGTCTAGCACTCATTGAAGCCTAGTGGAGATAATACTTAGAGAAGACTTTTAAGGTTTATATTATTGACTTGTTCTTCCAGGTCCTTAAATTCTGGCCTGCAATCAAATTATACCTCATTATTAGACTATATTTTTCTAACTCTTCTACAAAATAAGCCAGACTTTGCTGAGTATTGTTTAAAACTTTTGCCTTAACAAGACATTCTTGACATGAATTGTGCTTCCTAATCTGCCATAAGGCCCATTATATCAATTATTACTTCTTTTAAGGCAATCATATTATAATCTAGTGTCAGGAGAAAAGCAAAATTTAAATTACATAACTGGTTTAACTCTTCAACTCTTTTATGATGAAACCTTTCTAGCACAGGAAAATCTCTGAGCTGTAGTAAGTAAACACATTAAGAGTTTATTTATTTGTTTGTTAAATGATTCATTAAGACATGTTGTACACAATGGAGACCTAGATTAAAGTTTTTAATCATATGTCCTAACTACTCTCCAACTCATTTACAAATTTAAAGATTGATTCATGAGCTACTGTACTTAAATTTATCTTGACAATAAAATAGAAATAAGATAGTATTATCATGATTGTATTGATTATTTGCTATCCATAAGTGATTAAAGCTAAATGCTCTAAATTTATAAAGAAAGTTCATCTTCACCTGTAGTGGCAACAATCCCATATGCTTTAGGAACAGTGGTTTCACAAAGAAATCACTTAGAATGTAAGGAAATATGCATAAAACACCAGAATTTTTATTTCTTACTTTCCTTTTTAGCCACAGTACTGCCTTGGCATGATGATATGCCTGAAATATGTAGTGTGCTCCACTTTTTTGTCCCGTTTCATTGATTTGCACATAAGCCTCCCTTCCTGAATTCTCAGAAGTATTTTTTTTTCCCAGTGAAAATCATCCTCATTCTCATGGAATTTTTCATTACTTAATTGTTCATCTTTTTAAATCTTTCTGTCCACTCACAACAATGATCTCAAATGCTCCACATCAGGGATGAACGGCAAAAAAGAATTTTTCTCAATTCTCAAGAAAGATTTTAGGAAAAGATAAATTACTTCTGAACCATTTGTCAGGTGAAGTCACAGCTTACAGAGTTACCGCCTTGAAGGACAGGGCTGGAATTGACAAGACACAAAATACTTTTCTTTTTCTCTTTAAACAACAAGAACATTTCAGTTATTTCTCTTTTACGCTTCAACTATAATAATACTCTATAAACTCTATTTCCTTCTGATAGGTAACAAAGATTGGTCTCTCATTTATTTTTTCCCCTTAGAACTGTTACTAAACTGAGTCAAAAGTTTACTAAAGTCAATTTTACCGAAATCCAGAAACTGGTCCTGGACGTGACCCATGTACACGAGCAGTGCTGCAGAGGAGACGTGCTGGAGTGTCTGCAGGATGGGGTAAAGAGTCTTGTTTCCTTAAAAAAGGTGTATTTCTGCTCTCTTTTCTTTCTTTTTGTCTCATTTTAAAGGGTGAAGGCTGTCTGACTTTAGTGGGTCACAGGGGATGGAAACTAGGTGATTAAGTGAAGTTACAGACATCTTGGTAGAAACTCTTGGGCCATCTTTTGTTGATCCTGACTTTCACTTCAGAAATGTCTCCTTTTGTGAGACCAGGGCTTGTACATTCCTTACTTTGAAAAGAGTTGGGAACCTCTCAGGAGGCCTCCACATAGGGTCTTGTGTGGCAGACTCTTTAGTTTTCATGCATTTATTTTTTCATTCATTTATTCTTTCATTTGACAAATACATATTTAGTGCTTTCTATCTGGTAGCCACTGTGAGAAACACTTGTTATAAAGGCACAAGATGACCTCAAGGAATTTATAGCCTGATAGAGAGGAGACAGCGACTTCCATAGAATTAGGGACTGTCTTTTGGAAACAATGATTTCCATAGAATTAGGGACTGTCTTTTGTTTACTCTTATCTTCATAGGACAAGGCATGGCATATGGAAAGCATCCCATGATAGTTTGTTGAATTTACAAATACAACAAAAAATAGCACACAGGAAACTCTTCCACAAGGTAAAAATCTGGCCCACACCAGAGACAGATGTGAGTAAAGGGCTCTAGGAAAAAAACAAAAAAACTCCAGGAAAAATTCCTTCAATGTGCAGTGTAGTCAGTGGTGATATTTAAGCAATGCAGCATTGGTCTATTTTTGGCTAACCCTAGACTTGTAGCTATTGTGCAAGAGGCTTTTCTATTCCCAAATTACTTTCTTTCTCTGGTCCTCTCTACATATCAAAGAGGTTAAAAATCCAAAGAGGATTAAAATCCAAGAAACCTTAAAATCACGGGCTTTAGATACTCAAATGGTTTGAAAACCAGGACAAGACTATAGTTTCCAGAAGGCTGAGAGTGAAGCTAAAATGCTTATTTCAGCCCATTTCTCGGACAGTTTGCATGAGATGGCCTTGGAAGTAAGCAAGAAGCTGAGGCTACAGGGGAGTCCTGAGGGTGACAATCCCTGAGGAGTTGGGGAAGATGAACTGGAAAGAAGGGACCCGACAGGCACACTGTACTACTTCCCTTGTTTTCTCTTCTAGAAGTATTTATCTGCACCCTAGGGACATCTACAAGAAATTTCATTTTTCTTAGTCTTTAACTGACAATTTTACTGATTTTGAGTAATTTTAAAAAAAAATTGTTTTCTCAATTTTTGGAACGCATAGCCACCCTTTTTCCTTTAAAGTGGAGCAATTAATTTAAGTTTAATATGTAAACTGGATTTTAATAGCTGAATAATGTGTTCTAATTGTCCCTGCTAAGATTATACACAATTTTCAATCCCATGGCAGGGATACATAAGCTCTGCTTCTTTCTGGTCATTTATGTCCACTCCCATTTTATTATCTATAGACTACCCTCTGAAGGTCATATTTGGTTACAGCAGCTTGTTCTGTTAAAGACGGTTATCATTCTCTTGGAGTGGAAAGTTTGCTCTCCATGTCATGACATCAGCTGCAAATGTCTAGTGACAAATTTGGGTACTAATAAAAAGACACATAGCAACACACATTCCGTTTGATTTGAGGGGTACATTTCCCTCATTTTTAAAGTGTTCCTATTAAAATAAAATAGAGTTTAGCTTACAACCATAGAAAGAAGAATTGAACAAACAGGTAAGTGGAAATGAGTGAAGAAAAACAAAAGTGGGGAGAAAGGTAAAAAGTCTTCTTTCCTTCCTTCTTCCTTCCTCCGTTCCTCTCTTTCTCCCTCCTTCTTTCCTTGCTTTTCCCCTCCCTCTTTCTCTCCCTCTCTTCCTTTCCTTCCTTCCTTCCTTCCTTCCTTCCTTCCTTCCTTCCTTCCTTCCTTCCTTCCTTCCTTCCTTCCTTCTTTCCTTCCTTCCAACTAGCTCTTAGGTTCTACATTAAAGAATAAATCTTGAAACTTGTACTTTATTTTTCCTATTACAGGAAAAGATTATATCCTATGTATGTTCTCAACAAGAGTATCTGTCAAGCAAAATAGCAGAGTGTTGCAAATTACCCATACTTGAACTTGGTCAATGTATCATCCACGCAGAAAATGATGAAAAACCTGAAGGTCTATCTCCAAATCTAAACAGGTTTTTAGGAGATAGAGATTTCAACCAATTTACTTCAGGGGAAAAAAATATCTTCTTGGCAAGGTAACGCACTCTTAAATCTATGTAGGTATTAGTAAAGATTATGCGCTGACAGTTCTGTGTTGCTGAAGTGGAGAGATGTCTATGGTTTTTGAACTTAATATGTGAGGATGTTTGGTTAGAATGTTCTGACCCAAAGTAGACTTAGGCAAATAACTAAGGAATAAGGAATGGGATTTGTCTTATAATGGTGATAATGGTGAAGATTTCACCATTGCTATTACTAACTGACTTGCTTATAAAGCTATTTTATTTTATCTCAGTTTCTCTGGAAGCAGACGCAGTGTTATTCTGTATGGATTACTCAAATGGTCACCATTGCACTTTAACATAGGATATGGATATTTTTGTAATAAAAAGGCTCATAACAAAATTATGAACTTCACAGCAACTTGGATGGATTTAGAGTCTATCATACTCAGTCATCTATCACAGAGACAAAGATATGAGTACCTCACGTTCTCACTCCCAAGTAGATCCTGAACATTTATCATAATATTACATGAAAGAGATTGGCAGTTAGTGAGTCACTGCCAGGGGAGGGGAGGGGCACATTACATCAGTAAGGATACCTAATCCCAAATCAGGCGAAGTAAGGATCAATGGGAGGACCAAACTTCACCTGTATGATGACCTCTTACATACCTAACCTTGAATTGTACACCACATCTTTACTATAAAAAAGGGGCTCATGATTGAGAATGTGCTCTTTTGCTATGCATGTTAAACCACTTTTCCCAAGAATATAGCCCAATAGCTAATGCTAGATAGATCACCTTTTATTGGAACAGCTTATTTGCTATTTATTGAATAAATATCTTATAGTTTTTAAGAAATTCAAAACATGTTTAGAGACATTTGCAATACAGTAATTTGTAATAGTATAATTGAAATGTCATGTTCTCATTCTATTTGCCTTTAAGGGAAGCAAGCAATCAAGTTAATACATTTTCCTTTATTGTACAGTGTGTAACTATGAACACTATTTATTAGAGGAGGGATTTGTGCAGCTCTTAGGACATTAACGCTTCATAATTTCCAAGGGTCTTTCTAAATTTAAGAGTCTGATTCTAATGTAGAAATGAAAATAAGGGCCCAATTTTCTTTGTAATATTCCCTGAGGATATTATTTTATTGTTACATTAAAATTAAACATTCACACATTGTCTGCACTGCCAAATAAAATTATGTAAACTATAGCAAAGTTCAGATTTAAGAGACACATATTTACAATGTATTGGTGGCAAACTAATTCTACAATCTGGGAATGCAATTAGTGAATTTGAGAATTATCTTTAAGCTTCCACATGCAAACATATCTTAAGACAATTGTTGGTTTAATAGAAGCAGTTCTTCAATTGCAAAGGTTCTTTGCAGTAGAAATTTTCTTAGCCAAGATTGATTTCCCCCCAGATCCTTCTGAACAGCTGATGTCTTCTGCTATCGGCTGATCAGAGACTTTTTTGACCACACTATATGAGTGGCCTCTTCACCTTCGGTGGTACCCCTTTTCCTCTTTTCAGTCTTTTGAAATTTCTTTTCACTGATTTATCACCTGAAATGAGATGTCCTATTTCTTGTTTAATTCTTTCTGTCTCCCTATAATGTAAACTTTTGAGAGGACAGGCGTTTTATCTTACATGTCATTGACTTCTTTCTGCTTAAAGCAATGCTAACATAGAGTAGGCACTGGAAAAGTGTTTGGTGAATTAAAGAATATAAAGTCCACAACTGAAAGCCAAAATGAGAAATGCAAAAGCCAATAAAGGACAATCTGAGGAATCATCTCTTTATCAACAGCTTTGCCATTCATAGAATTCAAATCATATTGGATCTCCAGGTTGATTTATTTGAATTTTAACTTCTACAAGCCATACTATACAGGAATAATTAGGGAAGTGATGGCTTCATTTTGTCTCTTAGCTCCAATAACTTACATTTTTTCCATATATTTCAGTTTTGTTCATGAATATTCAAGAAGACATCCTCAGCTTGCTGTCCCAGTAATTCTAAGAGTTGCTAAAGGATACCAGGAGTTATTGGAGAAGTGTTTCCAGTCTGAAAACCCTCTCCAATGCCAAGATAAAGGAGTAAGTTACTCTAGAATTTTAGGGGAATCTAAACACTAGATCGATATTATTCATTAAAAATGCTAGTTGTTTGAAAGCATCTAGTTGTTAACTAGTAGCTAGCTAGTTATATCCATTAACTAGGTATCTCAGTATTGAGTAATTATTAACTAGTAGTCTGAAACTAGTGGCTTACTTTACAAATAAAAATGTTAACCAAATGTTCTTTGATGCACAAAAAAGGTAGCATCATTTTCGGCAGCTTCAGAAAGGCAAAAATTTTATTTTTTAAAATTTCAGAGTTGTAGGGCACAGGTGGGGATTTACGACTTAAATAGGTTGCATGCAGGTAAATTTTGAGCTTCTAGTGGGCCCTCTCTTCCCCTGATAGTGGACCTGGTACCCAGTGTATTGTCACGTACCCACCACCCTTCTCCTCCCCCCTTCTCCCTCCTCTCTCCCTCCCCTAGCAGTGTCTATCTGCTGTCTGCCAATCTTACCCTTGTGGTCGTGTGACTAGTGTTCAGAGAAGGCAAGAATTTTATACAGAAAGAACTACAACCTTTTATCCAAAGATTAAGTTTTGCCATTGAATAATTTTGTCATTAATAAAATTTTAAACTTAATCTCCCTAAAGTCCATTTGCTTCAGTTCTCAAAATTCATCCTTTGTCATCTTTAATATTTTAAAAAACCTCAAAGAGTTTTTTCTAAGATTGGTTTTATAATGGAATACAATATTTTATTTGTATATATAAAGTTATGTGTCCAGGAAAAGAAAAAAGTATATACATATATTTGTATTTTCAGGAGAAAGAATTACAGAAATACATCCAGGAGAGCCAAGCGCTGGCAAAGCGAAGCTGTGGTCTCTTCCAGAAATTAGGAGAATACTACTTACAAAATGCGTATGTTTTTGTAAACAATATTTCTTAGAGATTTAAAGTTATTAACAGGTAAGGAAAATAAGAATTCAAACTACTGAACCCATGGCTACTCTAATTTCAGTTAATCTGGAAGTCAATGCAATCTGATTACCCAGTTTCCTGGAAGAGAAGGTAGCCGTCCCTATTCCCCTCTTGGAGGAAGCAACAAGAATGGCCTTGTGAAGTCTGATCCGGGCACTGGCTTTTGGTTCCTCATACTGTATAGATTTTTTGCAGTAATGATATCCATTTTGCTATAGTCTGTCGTAGTTAAAACACCAAAAGTTCAGGTTTAAAGTCAGTGAAGCTCTGAGATGGGGCATGAGAGCGAGCCCTTCTTTCCCATTGTGGTATGTTGGTATCCTAGGAGTATAAGAAGTGCTTGTTAGTCTCAAAAGTTGGCCCAAATACCATGTGGACACAACAAATAAGCTGACTTCATGTCTTCTGACAACAGAAGAGAGTCTTTGAGAAGGAGCCAGGAGGCTAAAAACTCATGAATAACTCAATAGGACTTGGTTTAAAAAATGCTTCTTTCAGGTTTCTTGTGGCTTACACAAAGAAGGCTCCACAGCTGACATCATCTGAACTGATAGCCTTCACCAGAAAAATGGCTGCCGCGGGGGCCACTTGTTGCCAACTCAGTGATGACAAATTACTGGCCTGTGGTGAGGGAGCGGTGAGTGTCTGCTCTGCTTGGTCCCATCTCATTACTGCCCTGTCTGACTTGAAATAGCCTCATGATTCTCCTCTAAGAGAAATGCTAAAAAACAATGTGAAGCCGACTTTGAGGGGCTTGTTTGATTAGTTATAATGGGGGAGGGTGTGAGATCTCAGCTCTGAACGGGTGGCATGTGGCCAGTGTTCCTGTCCTTCTGGCTGGTGAAAGTGCAGCCAGTTTATCCAACAATGTATGAGCAGACTTTATGTATAGGAAAGAGAATGACTGACTTGTCATTCAACTCATAATTTTTCTTTTTTTGTTCACTAGATACTTATTTTAATGTTAAAATATCTTCATCTTTGATCGATTGAAATTAGTCATTTTATGTTAGCCATACTTATATTTCTGCCTTTTGTAGTATAATGTTATTATTGTGACATCAGGGATAATTGGTTCTCTTTAACAAGGTATAGGGTACAGCACAGGGTAAGCTCTATGTTATAAGTAGTAAAATGACTTTTCAGTCAGTCATTTATATATAATCATCTTTATTTCATAAAGTCACTAGTGCCATGTGTATGCTTACAGGTTGATTTTTTTTTCCTTAAAGTCATTGTGGCAAAAAACAATTGTATATCTGTTTTATTTGTTTTCCTCTTGGTGATGATGACAAGTTACTTTCTAGTTAGTCTTCATGTGGTGGAATTTTCTTGTCATTAAACATCACCTGAATTGTTTGCTGAATTCCACATGCTGGGAGGCTGCAGGGATGCTGGATGGTGCAATGGTCAGGAGTGCAGCTTCTAGTGGCCTCCCTCCCGAAGTCCATCCCACCTTCACCATTTGTGAGTTGCACCACTGTGGGAAAGCTACTTCTATCACTAAGCTTGAACTTTTCCGTCTGACATTTGAGCATAAAAATTATATCACTCTCATAGGACAGCTGTCTTTGACAAGGTGGTCTACATAACTCAGGTAGCACTAGCCAGGTAAACGACATGAAAACAGAACATGGCAGCCCTTATTACAAGCTATTGCTAAGCGATGAAGAAATAGCTCCACAGGTGAAAGGTAGGAGGATTCTTCATTAGGAAAGGCTTAAAGACACATACACATTGGTCCTATTTCTTTTCAATTAGGATTGTATATTAGCTATATGTATGTGTGAGTGTGTGTGTATGTGTGCGCGTGTATGTGCGCACCAGTAGGTATATGAATTTGAATAAAGGGGCTAGGTTTGTACTATTCTAATCCCCAGAAAGTGATTATCTGGATCTCAAAAGTAAAATGGAAAACTCAACCAGATATACATGAGAAACTTTAGGGCAGATTTTTTCCCCCTTTTGCAAGTATATATGTAACTGGAAGCATGTTTCAAGTAGCTGGTACAATTAGCTAAAGGGACTGTCCCTAACATTACATATGGAATATCAGCCACTGAATGCTAAGGTTTATCCCAAGCAAATGGGTAAACACTGGAATTTACAATATGGCGTTACATCATCCCACATGGACAGCAAGTTTTCCTGTAATAGTAATTATAAGTTGCTGGACATTAGAAATTATTGCAACGGTGTTTTGGAAACCTGAACCACCTTTGTGGCTAATACCCAATCTCCTTGCTTTCTTCTTTCTCATCCTACTAACCAGGCTGACCTTATCCTTGGACAATTATGTATCAGACATGCAGCGACCCCTGTCAACCCTGGTGTTGGCCAGTGCTGCACTTCTTCGTATGCGAACAGGAGGCCATGCTTCAGCAGCTTGGTGGTGGATGAAACATACGTTCCTCCTTCATTCTCTGCTGACAAGTTCATCTTCCATAAGGATCTGTGCCAAGCTCAGGGTGTAGCACTACAAACAATGAAACAAGAGTAAGAAGTTGTTATTTGCTAGCATGGAGAAGACCGAAAACACCAAGGAGTAGTTAGGACTTCTACCTCACATACCTATCACTCTGGAGCTCACTAATAAAACATTATTATCCCCAAAGCACTTAAAGTGCCTTTCAAAATAATTTCCTCTTGATGTCTTCACAGCCTCATTAGAAAGTAGGTTTGGAAAAATTCACGAAGGTGGACAATTTCCTGTTTATAAAAATGATCTCCGTTATAATTGTTGCGGTGATGCATTTTAAGGGTGAGGAAAAATTGGTTATGTATTTTGAGGAATTATGGTATATTTTTTGCAGTAAGTCTGAATATTTTCATTCCAAGTACAGGAAACATATCATTGAATCTTTTTTACATTCTTTACACTTTGAAAGAATAGCCATAATATTTGATTCAGTCATGCAGTATGAGTATTGAGAAATGACATGAACATTTCCATTCATTGTGGGAGTTATTCCCTGATGGTGATGGTAATGCAAGTCAAAGTTATGGTCTGTAAACTCCCACGTTGTTTTAATATCCATTTGCTTTGTAAGTGGTCTTTTGTCATTGGAAAACCCATTCTTCCCTTCTTTTCTTCTCTCACAATCTATTTCAAGGTACAATAAGAATGCTGCCTCTCCTTGCAAGCTTTCCCTTTGGCCCAGTTGACAGTAATTCCAAAAGGAAAGCATTGCTACCTGAGCAGAGCAGGCAATTAGTGCTTCCAGTCCCCAGATATGAGTATGGTAACTGTGCATAGCAGGGTTTGGAAATATGGGCTTTTTAGTGTGGGTACAACACACATTAGAAGAGAGGACAGGAAAGAATGTTCTAGGTAAGTAAAAAAAGGCTGCCTTTCACTGCATGTGAATGTGGTGGAAGTATAAAATAGTGTTTCGTCTAAAACTCTCACAACTCCAGGCCAGTGGGACACTTGGTGAGTTTTCAGCCTTAGTCTTTCTAATGAAAATACTGGACAGTGTGTGTGTGGTAAGTCTGGTGATGGGTTGATGCAGTGAGAGTTAAGGGTGAGGGTAGCTAGGCTCTGAGAACACTCTACTAGGAAGACTTTAGACAAATACATTGCATAACAGACTTCTTTCGTATTTTGTTTTGTTTTAAATCATAGGTTTCTCATTAACCTTGTGAAGCAAAAACCACAAATAACAGAGGAACAACTTGAGGCTGTCATCACAGATTTCTCAAGCCTGTTGGAGAAATGCTGCCAAGGTCAGGAGCAGGAAGTCTGCTTTGCTGAAGAGGTATGCACAGCTCATTCGACTCTCAGAATACTTGATATGGAATTTTTTTTTTTGTGGTAAATAATAAAAAGAATACCCTACAAATCTATAACTTTAAAATCATGTCACCGGGCGTGGTGGCTCACGCCTGTAATCCCAGCACTTTGGGAGGCCGAGGCGAGAGGATTACCTGAGTCCAGGGGTTTGAGACCAGCCTGGGAAACTTGTTGAGACTTAGTATCTACAATAAATAACAACAACAACAGTAACAAAAATTAGCCAGGTGTAGTGGCGCTTGCCTGTGGTTCTAGCTACTTGGAAGGCTGAGGTGGAAGGATCCCCTGAGCCTAGAAGGTTAAGGTTGCGGTGGCCTTGAGTGTGCCACTACACTCCAGCCGGTGATAGCATGAGACTCCAACTTGAAAAAAAAAGGGGAGGGGAAAAAAAGGAAAAAAAATCATTTTAAAAGATTTGAATTTCATTTAGAAATGGAAACATTTTATGAGTTTTAAAAAAAATTTCATTTTTTTCCTCACTGAATTTTAGGAAGAATTATAATTTAAAAATATACGAAGAGAATTAGTAATTTTGATTTGTTTCCTAGTAAGGAAAACTATAAAGTAAATATATTGATAATTCATGTCAATTTAGACAATTTCTGGCCTAAAATTTATCAATTAAGTTAAGTAGATTAAAGGAATTTAATGACAAATTAATTGTATAAACAAGATATTGGAAGAATATCCACAGAAAATGTTTTGACCATTTTTAGGAGCATGGGTTTTTATATCAACAGAGTAGTAATTGGGAATATTTTATTTCAATTACTAAGCAATTTTAATTGAATTTGTAATTAACTAGATATTAAAAAACTGGAGAATTTTACCTAGTATTTTAAAAATTATTTTTTCCAACTTTATTGAGTCATGATTGACAATAAAAATTGTAAATATTTAGGATGTACATATGATGCTTTGATATATGTATGCATTGTGAAATGATTACCACAATCAAGCAAACTGGCTACATTTCATAAATATTTGGTTTGTATTACTGAATATATTTGAAAATTACTGTATTTTAAAACGATACTTTGTAATTCAGTCTTTTGGTCATTTTTATCTAACACATGACATAAAAGTCTGGATGCTTTCTCTGTGCAAACTCTAAAGACAAGTAATATTTAGAGGTGTAGAGTTTTCCTACAAATAGTATAATTAGGTGTGTTTGAGTGTGTGCACTCATCAGCATATGTCTGTGTTTTTGGTGGGGTCAGGTGGGGGCAGGACACATAACCAAATCAGATTTGATGTAAGTCATTTCTGACAAATATGACACAAAAAGACTCATATCCTCTAATTTGAGAGGACATTCATTTAGATATAGAGAACATTAGCCAATGGTAGCAGTGCTCTCTGTGCAAGCCTTTTAGTTTCTATTGACTTGTGGTTTGTAGAAGAGAGGGATATTTAGGCAAATATTTAGAAATTGTCAGGAAAAAAATCTGCTTTTGATGTGAATGACTATTTTTTCTTCTCTGGCTTCTACTGTCCCAGATTGTTGGTATCAGAGATGCATTTATTTATTTTTAACTCAGATAATCTACAAACCTGTGAATTTACCCTGGATTGTGGAGCGTGAACTGCAAGACTGGCGCAATCATTCTTTTCTTTATCTGATTATTTTTATCTGTCCTTAATTTTCAGGGTCCAAAACTGATTTCAAAAACTCGTGCTGCTTTGAGAGTTTAAATTACTTCAGGTAACAAAAAAATTCAGACAAGGTTGACCATAATGTTGATTCTCTCCAAAGAGTAATCCATAATGATACAGATCCTAAAAAGTATCATTAATTTTCTTAAAAATAATGCAATTAATAAAAAAGTTTATTTCAAAAACAGTCAAACAAAATTATGCACCCAATGTTAAATTAGTGACTATCAAATAATGCAAATTGCTTTTTGGTTGTCTCTTCAGAATACCTTCTGAAGATCTTATGTATTTAATGTTTCCCTGATATAAAATAATAGAACCAGTTACCTTTGGCACCAGCTCATTTAATTTATATTTAATATATTTTTGTTCATATTACAGGGGGAAGAGAAGACAAAATGAATCTTCATGGTCTGTTGTGAACTTTTCCCTTCAATTGTAACTGATTGAATACTTTTTATGAATTAATGAACTGATGAAAACTTTTATGTGAAATTTCCCTATTTTAGAAATAAAGTATCTCCAAATACTCCATTTTTCATAGTTTGCTTATTTATGAAAAAATATAGATAACTCATTTAAATAGTTTTGTATGCCATTGTCTGAAACAGATTATGTTAAAAAAAGCATTTAATATTGGTTATGATAGGAGGTTAAGTCAACCAAGGATAGATTAACAACGTTAAATCACTTGGGGGACTGAAAAAACATTCCCAAGTTAAGCACTGTTTGATGCTGCCGGGGCACGTGTGTATTAAATGACCACTTAAGTTTTCTAACAGTTAATCTGGAGATGAGAAAAGAAATTACTATGCTTCTATAGGATCCATGAAAATTTAATAGCTACTTTTTTTCTCAATCTTTTTAAGTTCTTTGATCACACACATTTAAAAACATAAGTGCACTGTAGTTGTTTTGATATAAAGTTATTAACATTTACATCGGTTAAGTTTTTATTTCACAAATGTTAACCGAGCGGTCACTGGGTACCAGGCCCTGTTCTGGGTCCAGGGACTGTTCTCCAATTGCTTCAGTAGAGACAGAAGCAACAAAATAGCAATGCCACAAATTAGGACCCTGATAGAGGTGACCATAGATTGTTGAGGGAACAAACAGGTGGGTGAGACCAGTTCTGACTGGAAAAGTGCCATAAACATTTAAGAAGAGGCCTAGAAAATGAGTTGGGTACTCACCCCCTCAAGCAAAGGAGAGGACCATTTTATGAAAGAAGATAATGTGGTCAGAGGTACTGGGTGTGACAAAGCATGATGCGGGGTTTTAGAGGAGCAGAGGGTGGGCATGAAGGGTATAGACATGAAATATCAGTTAAGAAATGAAAGTGATGTAGGTAGGTCCAAGGCAGATTCTCAGGGGCTTTATTCTAGAGTGGTTGGACAATATCTTATGAGGAACTAGCACCAAGATGACATCTAAGCAGAGGAATGCCATCAGCGGTTGGTTTTTAGGAAGATAATTCATGAGCTAAAGCGGATGAGGAGTGGGAAAAATAGTAGCGAGGGGCACAGTCAGAAAGCGCTGGCCAAAAGACCAGGCTGCTATTAGGGAAGCTGTCTATTGTATTAGTTTAGAACAAAAATCTCAACATTGCGTTCGTGCTTTGGTCTGTGCTCCAGGAGAAAATAATTGCTCTAGAGTAATACAATGAGCTTTCAGTTCTAACTGAATTGCTTTTTGTTTTCTTGAATTGGGGTCTTACTTTATCACCCAGGCTGGAGTACAGCGGCACGATTATGGTTCACGTAGCCTCAACCTCCTGGGCTCAGGTGATCTTTCCACCTCAGCCTGAGTAACTGGGACTACAGGTGTGTGCCACACACTTGGCTAATATTTTAATTTGTTGTAGAGACAAAGTCTTGTTATGTTGCTCAGGCTGGTCTCAAACTCCTGGGCTCAAGCAATCCTCACACCTCAGCCGCCCAAAGTGCTGGGATTACAGGCGTGAGTGCCTGCCCTTCAATTGCTTTCTACTTTACATTTTTCTTTCAATCCTATTGCAACACTTGTGGACTGTGGATTTTGGTACAGTTCTAAAAGGCACTAATTCAGATATCACAATAAAATAAAATAAAATCCAAGATAAAATTATTAAATAGGAAAACTAGTTTTTCATTTTTAAGAGGAAAGTTCAGTGAAGATAGGACTCAGGGAAATTTATGAGCCAAATGATATTTCATTGAAATGTAGAAAGAAATATATAAAGAAAAAAATGGAAAGCACAAGAAAAAATGGATACAAATTCAAGTAAGTTGGAGATTTTAAAGCATCTCTACTTCTTTGACAGAACAAGTCAGACAAATAACAGATTCAGGGTATAATCATGCTCTAATCATGATCACTAGTGATATCTATACTACAAAATCCAGTGGTCAATTCTTAAGAAGATTAGTAATTTTGATTTACTTCCTAGTAAGCTATGAAGTACATAAATAATTGATGATAATTAAGACAGTAGTGGATTTGACCCCAAAAGCACAGACAATAAAAGCATAAGCAGACAAAGGGGAATGCATCAAAATATACATGTTCTGCACAGAAAAAAACAGAACAAAATAAAAAGACAACTTATGTATGGGGAGAAAACATTTGCAACAGTACATCTGATAAAGGGTGAATATCCAGCATATATGAGGAACTCAGTTCAACAGAAAGGAAACAAATACTCAATTAAACATTGGCAAAGAACCTGAATAGACATTTCTCAAAAGAGGACAAATGACCAACAGATATGTGGGAAAAAATGCTCAACATTGCTGATCGTCGGGGAAACAAAAATTAAAACCACAATGAGATATCACCTCCTACCTGGTAGGATGACTATAATAAAACAAGACAAAAAATAAGTGTTGGTGGGGCTGGGGAGAGCTAAAGCGGATGAGGAGTGGCTACTGGTTCCTGGGGAGAAAAGGGTATGGAGAACAGCATGGAGGTTCCTCAAGAAACTAAAAATAGAATTAATTACGCTGTGATTCAGCGATGCCTCTTCTGGTAGATATGTAAAGGACACAAAAGAATTATGTTGAAAGGAATATCTTCCCTTCCATACTCCTTGCAGCACTGTTCACAATAACCAAGAAATGGAAACAACCTAAGTGTTGATCTTTATATGAATGGATAAAGAAATTCTGATTATGCTATTTGATGGAATACTATTCAGCCTTAAAAAAGAATATGCTGTCATTTGAGACAACCTGAATGGACCCAAAAGACACGCTAAGTGGAATAAGCCTGGCCTTTTGCCTCTGGGCTTCCCTGGGACCAGTGGCCACCCCATCAAGGGCCTGGGGCCTCAGGCTCAGCTGACCACCATGGGTTCTGTGTCCAACTCCACAGTTTGCAGGAGGCTGGGCCAAGGTGGTGGCAGCAGCGCTCCGGGAGGTGGCCAGGCGGCAGATCACCTGCAGCGGCTGCAAGACACTGGGGTGGCACCTGGTAAGTGGTTCAACATGCATCTGGGGTTAGGTTTCCTGTCCATGACCACTGTGCAGATGTCTTTGCGAACAGAGTAAGTTACACACATAAGCCTGGAGGCAGGCAGGGCTGTGGAGTTTACCTTTTTGTTGGGGTGGGGGGACGTTTACTAAAATAATTTTTCTTTTCTTTTTTTTTTGAGTTGAAGTCTCACTCTCTCGCCCAGACTGGAGTGCAGTGGCACGCTCCCGGCCACTGCAGCCTGGACCTGCTGGACTCCGGCAATCCTTCTGCCTCAGCCTTCCAAGTAGCTGAAACTACAGGT